CCCGACCCCCCCTGGCTACGGGCCTGTGATATACGTGTATGATATACGTGCTCTGGCTGATTATAAGTAGCTGGTTTGCAAATATTTTTTCGTGCAGATGCAGAATTATTCATATGTTCAAAGTACTATCACATTGCACTGTGCCAGCCATGACATTTTCTATCATCCCATTTTGTCTGGTGTCATAAATTAGCATAAGACTAATATAGCATTGCTGCATTCACCTACTAAAGTAGCCATGTGTTGGTTATAAGTGTCTTTGCCATGAATATGCAGACATGATTCGACAAATAAAACCTATAAAGCTACAGAAAATATATAGCACACATCGATAGCACAACGTATGCACAGGAATTGCTTTGTCACCTTGTTGTCGATTGCCGTTTCACCAATTATCTCGTTTTTGGATTGACCAAGTGCCTTAAACATATAAATGATGAATGAGAAATGTATGGAAATGCGTTGTCATGATTTCGATCAGAAGAGCCGTTAAAGCCCAACGCACACACCCGAGCAAAACACCGGAACGTGGAGCAAAACATGTTTTGCTCGATGTTCGTGGCTGTGTGCGGATTCCCGAAACAAGAAACATTGCTCAGCTGAGCGTGTTTCGCTGAACAAGCAATGTTTGATTCGCGGAGTGTGTTTTCGCCTGAGCGTACGTTTTGCTCGGGTGTGTGCGTCAATTGTTCTGCTACACAGCGAAACGCCATAGACGGTCTCCAATCAATATCGCTGGAAAACAAAATTTCGTGTTTTGCTCGGGTGTGTGCGTTGTACTTTAGAGGGGGTCAGCCCTATAGACCAAAGGTCCGATAGACCGAATATTGCAAAGGGTTAGGGTTAGGATTAGAGTTAGGGTTAGGGTTAGGGTTAGAGTTAGGGTTAGGGTAAAGCACAACGCACACACCCGAGCAAAACGCGAAATTTTGTTTTCCGGCGTTTCGCGTTCTGCTCGGCGAGCAAGCGCACACATGCCACCCGACACGGCACACAGCTGAGCAAAACATACAGAAACATTGCGTTCAGCGCCGCTGTCACATGACATCAAAAATAGTCATCCAATGGACATCCAATTTTGTGTGTCATGTGATATTTTTAAGAATATTGATTGGAGACCGTCTGTGGCGTTTCGCTGTGTAGCAGAACGATTGACGCACACACCCGAGCGAAACGTACGATCAGGCGAAAACATGCTCCGCGGATCAAACATTGCTTGTTCAGCGAAACACGCTCAGCTGAGCAATGTTTCTTGTTTCGGGAATCCGCACACAGCCACGAACATCGAGCGAAACATGTTTTGAAACATTGCTTGTTCAGCGAAACACGCTCAGCTGAGCAATGTTTCTTGTTTCGGGAATCCGCACACAGCCACGAACATCGAGCGAAACATGTTTTGCTCCACGTTCCGGTGTTTTGCTCCACGTTCCGGTGTTTTGCTCGGGTGTGTGCGTTGGGCTTTAGGGTTAGGGTTAGGGTTAGGATTAGGGCATATATATATGGTTTATAGTGGCATCATATGATTTATAGTGGCATCGGTGGATGTCGGCATATTCACGTTCGAATACGGCATCAGTGGATGTCCGGACGCGTAGCCTGGAGGCTAGGCGACCGATTCCGGACGTGTAGCCACTGCGTATTCGAATAAACCTTCGGTCTATCGGGCCTTCGGTCTATCGGACCTTCGGTCTATAGGGCTGTAACCGTTTAGAGTTATTGACCTATCCACTTGTTGACTTTATATTTATATTATAAAGTGTTCCTTACGGACCTGCTGTTAACAAGCATAGCTAATTGCTGTGTCATATGACGATGTTTCTTTCCAATAAACCTATAGGCCCTACATATAATATTGTATTCCAAACATGTGATCACAACATATTGCGAATCCAGTGAATCCAGCATGAACGCATTTTGTGTTATCACATTTTGTTTCAAAAATAGATAAGCTTAGATGTGGTCTTAATCTACTTTTACTTATTTTACTACTTTTTCTACCTTTACTTATGTTTTTTGAGAACATGTACATATACTGTATATATATAGTATAAGCATAGAGCACACCTTATCTGGTAGTGGTCTTCCTACAGGTCGTGTAGGGGGCAGCTTTGTAGGCTAAACAATAACGTGAAGGTAGAAGTAAAAGTCACAGAATAAACATGTATGGAATTAATGACGTTAACACAGAAAGTTTCTTCAGTAAACGCTAACAAGTGAGATTAAGAATAAACATGAAGTCGAGAATAATTATTTTAATATATATTTACAGTGTTACGTGATTAAGACTTCACACTTATTCTACACAGGTGCAGGTAAATAGCCATGTAGAGTACAGATATAGATTAGAATGAGAACTTGTTAACGACATGCACATATACATGCAAGCATACACATAGGCACACACAAACAAACATTCAAAGATAAAGTATTGCAATTGGTAGAACTAATATGATAAATTTTTTTAGTTTGCTTTTGTAGATCACATTCTCCTAATGTAACGTGTAATAATGGTATTGAAATATGTATAATTATTGATTCTACTACATTCTATAATATCTTATCTCAATGGGTCATTATTGTGTGTGCACGCGCACGTGTGTGTGTGTGTGACGTAACATAATTGGTTTATTCCCGGTTGGCCTACTCCCATTTCGCCTATGGCAAAATTCCCATTTCGCCCACAGCAAAATTCCCAGTTGGCCTACACCAATTTTACCTACTCCCAATTCGTCTACGCTCAAAATCAACCACATCCCCATTTCGCCTACGATCAGTTTGTTCACTAAATAATCATTTATAAATAATAAAATATGGTTTTGATTGGCATACATAGACTACAGGAACCAGAAGAACACATAGGTACAAATAATGAGAACACGACTTGACAAAAATAGAAAATACTGTAGTATAAAAATTTAGGCGAAATGGGAATATTGCCGATTCTGAGAGTAGACGAAATGGGAGTAGGCGAAATGGGACGTAGGCGAAATGGGAGTAGGCGAAATGGGACGTAGGCGAAATGGGTGTTAGCAAAATCGGAGTAAACCAACTGGGATGTTACCACATGATTTATACACAGCACCACAGTCCACAGCACTGCACTTGTCTTAGAATCTGGGAAAATGGAGATAGCTGACACTTGGAAATTATGGACTGATGAGGCAATAACGAATTCCCATCAAGCCAGGGTTCGTTTATAATTATAACTGTGATTCCCAATGTGGATACTATCGTATATAACAATCCTCTGGGGCCATTGGATTACCTACGGGGCGCTAAGAAGCATATGTGGGGGTGGGGGTGCTAGATCGTGCTAACACCACGCAGTTGCTTACCACGTTTTAAAAAGAAAATGCAGGCAAACACCTGCCATATATGTGAAACCTCAATTCAACCCATTAAGCCTCTTGACATATGTCATTATAGGCTGCACCTATATCAAATGGGATCTCACCTGTCTTTCAAATTTTAACAGTGTGGTAAATATAAATAGGGTGGAGCCTATCGCATGTGGCATACTTTATATTTGGCAAAAACAATTATATTTAACCAAAAGTCGGCCGTGTGCTGTGGCCAGAAACACAAAACATTTGTTTGCAACAATTTTCTCTGAGATCAAACACGTTGTATATTCACTACAAATGTGATGTCTTTCCACGTCAGGAAATTGATGTTAGCGGTGGTGGTCTTGTGCTGGTTTGCAGCCGGTAGTGTTGTGCATACTGCTATTCTAAATAGCGCTTTTAATAGGGTAAGGTGGGGTAGATTGGGAATGAGTTTATGGAATCGATCAGGAGGTGCATCGAAAAAGTTTGGAAACTGCCAGTTTAGGATAAAAGAGCTCAAAATCATACAATCCGACCACTATTAGAAAATTTGCTATGTTAAATTCAAGAAAAGTCATCACTCGCCTCAGAAGTAACTGTCAAAGCGACCAGAGTAAGTAAGTTGTATATACAATGATAAAACATTAAGCAAGCAAAGCAAAGTTCACTATGGCTGCTATGCGTTTTCGGGTTTCAGATTAGGGAATCTAAGTTGTGATTAACTACACGAACAAAACTATAGACCCTAGCCGATAGAAAGATAAGAGCGTACAATCGTGTACGCGTGGGTAAGTAGAACGTGTTTGCTGGTGCAGACACGTTTAGGTACTACAGCAGTGCCGGCCAGGCTGACATTGGACATAGTCATAGATTCCTCGCTGTGACAAGGTAAAGTAACCAAGTATTACACTCTGCATCAGTAAACGTGATTTACCTCGCTCTAAGAAACGGTCATCCAATAAAAGACCGTATGACCGTATGGGTACTGCTGTTTGTCTCGCGGTCTGTTGGGGCACTGATTTGCCATTCATGAACTTATATTTACCATTGTGAACACCTATAGGTTATGGTGGTTAGCAGTATAACGTACTAGTAATCCTTATACGTGTGAGAACGAATGTCTTAGTATGTACAATGCTTTGTTATGACTAGGCTTATAATACAATTTTCGTATTGTGATAGATTTGCCCTAGACTGAATCCACTAGAAGTTCGAGTTGTTTCATCTAATGCCATCATTTAGCAATAACATGCATCCACTTCTACAAGAACAGAGAACATTCACATACACACGAGCCACTTCAATGTCTCATGCCATACAAATAAACTCGTGAAAATACATTACATCAACTTTAACGGTCATGCACCAATTTATCCCGGGTGGTAAGTGAACCGGGTGGTCGTGAACCGGGTGGTCTGAATTAACGTGACTTGCGTTGGAACTATTTTTTCACAGTTCAATTTGATTAAATATTAAGTAAATGTAGGCGCATACACTAGCTGTGCGTTCATAACATAACCGTGCAGCGAGAAAAAATGATTAGGCAGGCATGATTAGATTTTTCCGAAATGCTACTCTATAGCCACACACGAGGGAAAGAGTTATTTTGGGAACGTGGGATTGAACTATTTAGATGAATTTGCAGTGATATAGGAATAGAAATCAACCTGGACGTGGAGATATCAAAATTGCAAATGTAATTATAACCGGGAACTAGGAAATAGTATATTTTTTCTGGGAAACTGGGGATGCCCCCCCCCCTGCCCACCCACACAGTCCCCCACGTCCCCTCATAGTCATACACTTTATAGGAGCTACTAGCTAGTGTGCGGGCGAGTTGTGAGGGTGAGAGGAAATGTCTCAATTCTAAGAAATGGCAGAACAGCACGTGTCTCCCATTATACTTCAGTTATTTTTATGATCATTTAATCGCAAGTCTCGAGAACTGCATGAAAGGTTAAAACGATTAGGAATAGCAATAAGAAGAATCACATTCCTAATGACGTACGCTCAAGGTAACTGCACGGCCAAATAATGCAAACACACTATTACTGGTTGTCCTACGGTCACGCCAGGTAAATCAACTAACAGAACACAATCCGTACACTGCAAAGACATAACACAATCAGCACGCAGTTATATATATATATACCTTGGTATCTGGTGGTGGGCTCGATATTAGTGGTGGAGCTTCAGGAACACTAAGTAAAGGGCTCTCAGACTCTGGATTAGGTTCTAGAGTCATCGCATTTACTTCACTTACTTCTTGCAGTGAGTGCTTTAATAGAAATTATGTATAATAAACTCATTTTTAACACTTAGTGCTGAATAGAAAATTTTGTTAGTGAGAATATGCTTGCTAATAAGTTTGACAACCTGAGTGTAATAAACATGGGGCCTTTTTTCCTGGAAAATGACTGAAATAGCCATATTATATCTAATGGATAATGGTAGTAACAGATATAGTAGCAGCAACGTTGTAACTTCCAGCAATAGTGTTGATGTTTCAAGCTTATGTACATTGTGGAACTTTATACTGCTTACTATATATTCTAAATGTAAATTACAAACAGCCAACGTGGCACTGGTTTACTGAAACTATTTCTTTAAGGGCAGCAGAAAATGCATCTGCAATTAAACATAAGGTAGCAATTTTGCATACAAGGAGAATTAATAGTCATTGGCAGGTGATATCTACAAATATATACGTTAAGTGGATTCTATCAAGCTACACAACTCGCAAACTAAACATCAACAATAAGATGATTTTGTGGTTTTTTTTGCAATCTTTCTTTGCACTAGAATACACCAACCTTTCCGCCTGCACAGGAGAGACATCAGCTATGTGTTATGGGTCAATTAAGTAATCAGTTATTAAAGTCTTATATATGAATTAGCTTAAGGTTTAAATAAAAATGAAAATATAACACACCAATAAAGCAGCTAAATACCTTGGTATCTGGTGGTGGACTCGATATTGGTGGTTGACCTTCAGCAACACTAAGTAAAGGGCTTTCAGACTCTGTGTTAGGTTCTAGAGTCATCGGAGTTACTTCACTTACTTCTGGTAGTAAATGCTTTAACGAAAACATATAGTATAGTTGTGTTTCTATGAGCAATACAGATGTGATAAAACCAACTGGTCCTCAAACTCAAATATATACCTTCATTGACTTCAAAAAGGAATACGCAAGTGGTGACATTTCAGTTCTTACATTTAGATATGTGTTGGTTGGTAACTACTTGTCAGTAGGTACCAATTAAATATCGTTGTAATTCAACCATATTACATATCCATATTTGCATTTTCGGAAACTCTTTTAAGTCTTTACTAATCACTTGGGATTTTGCTGGTGGATAATCTACATTATGTAGTATTTTCCTTATTGTATTTATCCTATACCTTTACCACGATATAATAACCTTGAATTTGTTTTTTTTTGATAGTCTGGTTAAACATTGGGATACCTTTTAACTGGTAGTAACTAATATGGTAAGAACATCCTTTCTTCTGATATCACATATACACAACCTGTCATTGCAACAGATGGTTGGATTTTAAATTATTCATCCTGGAGACTGAAACCATGCGAAATGCCAATGTAACTTTAGTGAGTACACATAGAGACCTTTTCATGAACCAATAAATGTCTAATAGTCTTGCTGAGTCTGTAACTGTCCCCCTATAGGAAGTTGATCAATGTTCACAAATGATATAATGTCCACATAAGATAACAGTGTGATCAGTAACAAGAGCCGCAGAGCGTCTGGGCTCATCTGAGGTCTGTTGCTACGGTTATAAACGTAACATTTAAGTTGTGCGTAGTGACACCTTTGTTAGGCGCAGATATGCAGATACGCAGTTGCGTACACATCATTTCAGCAACCTTCTACATTCTGCATAACTCCCAAATCCCATTGGTTGATACAAATCGTGTGCCTGAAACTAATGTTTTATGGTGCATTGTGACCCAACCCTATTAAAACAAAAACAAAACAAGGTAGGCCAGTGATTAGTGGACCGAATAAGCTCAAGAACGTACACATTTGCGTCTATATTGGTGCCAAAATTTGATGAGAAAATTAAGCTCTGGAATCAGCACACCTCAACTCCTGGTAATTATTTGAGTGCTAGTGACTATTCCAACTATTCATAATGTACACTACAGAATCTCATATATAATCATCTCATTATCTCCTAAGTAAGCATTGTTCAAGTAAGAGTAATGTGTGGAATTTCACTGTAAAATGGGAGCGTTCCACACCACAGGTACTCGCCAACGCAGTTGAGAAAACATCAATGTTTAACCCTCCTACAGGCTGCAATAGAGAGCTGCCACCTGTACCTAATTAACGCAGGCAAACTACACCATATATCACCACCACATGCACTGGCAGTGGCCACTGGCAGTGGCATATATAACCACTGACAGTACAGAATGCCATAGAAATTATACGATTTAAGGAGCATAAACCTCTCAAGCAAATTTAGCTTTTGAAATTTCACTGTGACATTGTAGCCTCATACATCCAGGCATGTATATGATTCTACTAGCAACCCGCAGCAGTTCAAATTCTTTCTACACACAGTAACAGTTAACAATCCATATTTAAATCCGTCCTCTTGAGGTCAAAAGGTTATCAGACACTTACTCTTCGCACGTCAGTGGCAAAGCACTTTCATGGTCCCTTTCATAAAGCCATAAAAATGGTAGGTCACCGCTGAAACAAAAAGTTTTTCATAGCTCCGTCAGACCATGTCCTCAGAAATGTCTAAAATCTGCCTCTGTGCCCATTGACTTGACCTGTGACTCCAATTTCGGCACAGTGATGCTTTTCCTACCATGATGCTATACCACCGACTATCACAAGCCTAGGTCGCGCCGTTTAGATTTGTGCCGCAATTCTGCATTTCCTCCTATACTTAAGTTAAGGAGTGAATGTTCCCCTTATTCTTCACTCTTGACCTTTGACCTTTGACCCCAGCTTCGACATCCCAACTCGTTTTCGGATTACCCCCACGTCCACGAATACGTGACCGTACGTCGAGCGCGTTAAGATTTGTGCCCAACTGTTGACGGACGGACGCACGGAACGGAGCGGACGCACGCACGGACGGACGATCATGCGATTCTACAAGCTGCATCTGACTATGTCAGATGAGCTAAAAACAGATAAAATCTACCAAAATATCCTATTTGCTTATTGAAGCTCGACCTCAAAGAAAACTAATATTCCTTGGTATCTAATTAAAATTCTGTATTTCAATAACAGCATATTATTGCCTCATCAATATCCTGATACTGTCAATGAATTTATTCTATAGCAAAGTTTAAGATTGAATTGCCTATGCCCAACTACTATCACTTTCTCATGCCTGTGTATCTGATTTCCCATTTGTAGCAAAGTTGAAATTGCAGCTGTCAATCAGTCTGTACACAGATTGCACCTTACTATAATGTGTAAACACAATACAAGAAACCCTAAATAGTAATACTAATCACTGCTTGCTAAATCTAGCTTTTGTGTGTACTCCTAGTGCATCCTCCTTACAATTACCATGGTACCATTTGTATACGGTGTTTTTTGTACACAAGAGGCAATATTAATTCAAGAGGTCACCTGGTCTCGATAGCATTTCTTAGATACGTTTCACATTAATGTACATATCTAATAAAAATACAGACTGTTGAAATAGCATGACAGTTAGCATTAGGTGCTTGAGATAGCTGCCATCTCCACCTATCTTATATGTGAAAGTCAATATGGTATTATTCATCACTAAATATAACGACATATTTATATGGAGTTGGATTTTAGTCTCTGTTCCATGTTCCATTCTAATGGCATGCCTAGATAGAAAAGCATGCCTGGGTATACACAAAAATGACACTTTTCAGCACAGTCAATGATAACTAGTTTTATAACGTTCTCAGAAGGTTATAAACATTTAAATTGATCAGTGCTTGCTTTTCTACAATTGCATGCTAAATGTGTATGATTATGCAACAACAATACAACATGATGCATATCTAGTATATTACAAGCACTCAAGGTGTATGACCAGAAGTTCCATACCTCAGTCTTTGTGCCTGGAGCAGGTTGAAGAGGCTGCCAATGGAATAGTAGGCAATTTTAATGATTTAGCAAGTTTATACACTGTGAAGAAAGGTGTGAGGATAGAAATTTCAGAAATGTAAAGACAAGCTTTTGATTACACTTATTTTATCATCTTCCTTGATAAACCATGATAAAAATGAAATGGGATGTTTATCAGTAATAATGCTAGCAGAGCTTGATAGTGGTTACAGTTTGATAAAGGGTGATATACAATAACATATAGATTCTAATTTCATACTCTAGCACTCTAGAATGTAATTATTGCTGCTACTGCTACAGCTGTTGGTACTGCTGTTGCTTATATCAATAAAACATGAGAGTTTTATGTGCACATAACAAGTAAGACTGCTGGAGATTATAACCATATGATATAGACAGCAGGAGTTAATAAAATAGGACTGTGACAACTGTTTTACACACTTTACTAGTTTTTTAAAGCATCGATATCAGTAGAGACAGATATATATATCTATCATTCTGAGCATAGTCCATACATTTTTAATTTGCCTAGCATGTACTGAAACTAGCTGATATCTACTTGCTGTCATTTAGCTGTTAACTGTATTCAAACAACATGATCCCTCACTTCTGATTTCATTGCTTGTGTCGAGGAAAAAAAAACTATGTCACATTTAAATATATTTACAGCTGAATGGCAGCAAGTATATTATGTCAACAATTTTTTTTACTAAATGCTAGGTGAATGAAAAACCGGTTCATGAAGGTAAATACATTTCCTTTCAATGGCAAAATTTGAAGACATAAACCAATTATATCTGTTAACAAATATATCACGTTTAAAAAACTGTCTTCTCTGGCTGTTAGCGATGGATTACTACCAGAAGTAGATAATAGGGAATTCCCTATTATCTACTCCTGATTACAACTGAACCCAAGTAATTATGCTGCTATAATGAATTTACTTGAACCATTGTTTTAATTCCGATAATGTATGTCAGAACTAAAATTCCAGGTTATTGTTTATTTTCAGAACTACAGTTTGCATACATCAACTAACTAAAGCAGAGTGTTGATTATGTGGTTAATAATGAAGTGGTTAAAGTTATTACTCAATAAATTATAAGCCAGACATCTCCAAGTACTCCTATGTAGGTTCTACACTAATGCTAGTTTACTATGATGGTAGAAGGGCTATCAGCACAAAAGCAATGCAACAGGTAAATAGAGGCAGAATGATTTCAAAATAATGTGCATATTAGCTACATACTTTTAAGTGAATAATTACACATGTAACACATTGGATATTAAAGTAGAGGGCAGTACCAACATGACAACAGCTTGCTGTGGTATGTGACTTGACAATTCCAAACTGTCAGTAAAAGTATATACAAATTATACCAGAACACCATACCTTAACTTACTGGGACGATTTTGGAAACAAAAACTGACATTTAGTTGACTTTTACACTAACATGATTGAATCATGAAAATGTCATTTGGATGAATTTTAAACATGGTAGTACATACATACTTATACACACCTTTTCCTCCATTTGGTTTGAAAAATCATCATCATCACTTCCCAATTCTGCCATATCTCTTACTTGCGGCGAGCGTAATTTTCCTATCAAACAGTAACACAAATTTATGATAAACATTAAGGGGTGCCGTGGACACACTAGGCGATTTTTCATGCGGTCGAGCCACCCGGCTGAGCCGGCCGGCTGAAATCGCCTAGTGTGTCCAGTGAGTTGCGGTCGATTTTCGAGTCGGCCGGCTGAGTCGCCCGAATAAAACACGTTTGATCATTATTTGAGTCGCGTGACTATAATAAGCAAGAGATAATCAGCTCAGCATTATAATTTGGTCCTCTAGTTTTGCATAACAAAGCTGTGTAGTACACAAAAACAGCAGGAGTATATATATACACAAATGGTGGTGCTAACCAACATAGAGCTATGCTATAGCCAAAGGGGAAAAATACTACTTACTAACTATACTTATGTTTTGGTCACCTAAGATGTTTAAAATTGAGGAGGCCTCAGTGTATTATATATTCAGCAACAACTAAAATTTGACATAATACAGAAAAACCAGCATTTACATGACTACTATGTGTACTAATAATGCAGATAGAATAAAGACAAAATAAAGCCAGGGGTCGAAATAAGCGATGGTCCGATAGTCCGGGGCCATCAAATAATCAGGAGGACCATCAGATTTTCAAAGTCAATGGTCCGACGGACCATTGAATATTTTGGTCCCATTTTACGGTAATTTTCTTTGAAGTTTCCACGTTCCAATATACTATTAAAGTGAATAAACAATTACTGTATCGTTTGATACATTTATTGTACAGCGAACGAGTTTGGCACTCGCCCGCTCGCCAATGTCGAGTGAAAATAATATCGGGCGAGTAAACGCTAAAGCTGACTCGCCCATGTTGGCGAGTAAAAATAGTTGTCTAAAACTTTAATCAAATGTTGGTTCCTTACATTGTGTATACGTGCCTGGGGCGGCATATTGATTGATGTATGGGGGGGGGGAGTGCAGGATTGTTTAAAAGTCGCGTGGGGCATGTTCATTATAGGGAGTGGGCACCGCTGGGATCAGAGGACGACAGCAAAATTCTTTCCTGGAATTGAGGAAAAAGTTGCAATCGGGAATGACACACAATGAGCGTGCCGGCACGCAAAAATAAACGTGTGAATTTCGTTACGATTTTCCATGTATATATTGTAATATCAGGAGTGTATAATATCGACATATATCTCTATATATAATATATAGATCTATATATATATATATATCTACCTATCTATCTATCTATATATTAGTATATAATATAGATCTCTATATTATACACTCCTGGTAAACCGTAATATGATATGCACTGAACCAAAAGAGGACCTTAACGGCTCATAGATTGCAAGTAAATTTTGTACAGATCTGAAAATAATTAAGCGTCGAGGCCTGTGTTAATTCAGTTGGCAGATAGATTAACTTATTAACCACATTACTTTGCCTTAGCATTGTACTTGCACAACTTGGCAGAGACTGAGTAGTTCAACCCTCAGCAATTTGAAGTTTATTATGTTTCTCTTTTTTTAAGTAAGTATTTTAGTCTTTGGTGTCCCCAAAGTGATACTTTTGTGATGAAGATTGTTTAATAATGCTGCCTCAGAGTGCAAGAAGTTGCATCTAAGAAGTGTATGGGCATGTGGCCCCATAGTCTATTTTTGCACTATTGTTTGACAAGCATTTTTGTTTTAAAATTTGGGCCAGTTAACTTATTGACTCACTCGCCCAGTTTGGCAAGAGGTTTTTATTTTAAAGCTCTAACACTGTTATAGGTGAATAATTAAACCATTTTATCACCATGTAAAATCTCTTTCTTATGCTTGCGCGCCGCATTACTTTTAGAGAACAATTTGAAATTTAGGATGACCATCTAAAATTCCAAACTAGATGGTCCTGTGGACCATCTTTTTTTTTCTCCTTATTTCTACCCCTGTGAACAGATCTGTGAACAGGTGCGTTATGATCACCCACCAATTCATTTGGCAGGGAAAAGTCGTGACCCAGAAAGCAGGTTATTTTCAATTACCAATATTATGGATCAACAATCATTGTTTGTGACAATCATAGTGAATCATGCTATTGTTTGTAATAATGGTTAAGGTGAGTCACGTAATTTTCTGACAATCGTGGTGAGGCACGTCATTGTTTGGGAAGATCATGGTGAGTCACGCCATTGCTTGTAATGATCACGGTGAGTCATGCCATTGCTTGTAATGATCACGATGAGTCATGCCATTATTTGTGATGATCGTAGTCACTGACACCATATACAACACGTCTATTTCAGACTTTACTAGGAAGCAGGTTGAGGCTCTAGATGAGCAGCTAACGTTAGAGAAACGCAGGGCACTGGAGCTCAGGGACGACATTGAGAAACGCGATCGCCGTATCCGAATCCTGGAGCAGCAGCTGAAAGCCAAGGATAAACAATATATACAGGTATGTCACGTGTGTGTGTGTGTGTGAGGGGGGGGGCATGAATGTGGTTGCGTGCGTATGTGCACGCATGCACGTGTTTGTGCGTGAGTGCGCGTTCATACGTGCACATGTGTATACATGCATGTGTGAGTGTGCGTGCATGCAGGCAAGCGTGAGTGTGCGTGCATGCAGGCATGCGTGAGTGTGCGTGCATGCGGCACATGTGTATATGTGCATGTGTGAGTGTGCGTGCATGCAGGCACGTGTGAGTATGCGTGCATGCATGCGCATGTGTATACGTTAGTGTTGTCAATCGGTTGTAATTTCGTAATCGATCATCGGTTGGACCCAAGTAACCGATGATCGGTTACAATCGGTTACAATCGGTTACTCGGGGTGTTGAATGCCTGCGTGTGCGTAACGTCGTGTGCATGTACGTGTGTGCATGTATGTGCTAGTTTAGCCCTGTTTACTGTTTGTTTTGCACTGTTTACTACTGTGTGTATAATACATGTACTGATTCTCATCACTTTTCCAAGTTTTTTTTTTTTTCTGATGAAATTGATTATGGATTTTGATAACCAAGCGCTTGGTTCGAGCCACTGTTCAACTGATGATCGAGTATAATCGATGATCGTGACATCACTAGTATACGTGCATGTGTGAGCATGCGGGCGTGCCTGTAAGTAGGTGTGTGTGTGCATGCGTGCTTGTGTGCAGGTGCGCATGCTAATTCTCATTGTAGAATGCTTACAAAACGTTAAGTGCATACGAGTAAATGTCTGATTCATCGATTCTGTTACAGGAGTTGAAAGGTGTTAAGGCAGAAATTAGTGTTCTTCACAAAGAGCTAGATCAGAAGTCGAGCATGATAGCCTACCTGACAACACAGCTGCACCAAGCTAAAATAAATAATCGCTCTAGAGAGCAACTACAGGTATACAACTGCTGCCCTTATGGTAATGACGTCGTGGTGTAATATGTTGGGTGTGGGACTGCCGACATTTAACCAAGCCATGGGACATGGCTAAAACGTGTGTACTAATGTGGAGGGTGTAGCTGCACCATGTGCAATTATATGCATTCTTTCCTAGTGTTACCAGTAGGAAAAAACTGTTTAAACGGTCATTTTGTTTTCGTTTTGATTTTCAAGTAATTCATTGCCACATTCCAACCCTGTTTATGTTACAATCTCAGGTGTTTTCGACATTTACGTGAGCGCGCATGTGTGTGTGTGTGTGTGTTGTACAGAAAAGCGGTACCACTTCGACAACCACAACTGTGAGCATGACAAATCTCAACACCCACGCCCGCACACCAGCCAGCCAATCATCACGTTTACGTGCGCCCTCTACATCAAGACTGCCAACGTCTCCAACTCCGCCTCGATCGCCATGGCCTGACCGAACCACTGTGAGGCGCTCATGGCATGGCCAGAAGTATGTATGCTTGAAAAAGAAAAGTTATGTAAAGCAATCTTTATTTTTATCGGTATCGGACATACAGGGTAACATTAGCTCTTGAAATAGCTCTTAAACCGATATCAAACAAATGTAAGATAACAAGTGAATGATAACGGAATATATGGTCGTATGACATGACTTAGAAATTTTTTTGTTACATATCACATTTGTGTAGTGCGTAATGCGTAGTGGTAGACCTTGACAGACCTAGCTTCACCAAACTATTACTCCCCATGTATACAGTGTAAACGTTCGTTGTGACTACCAAAGTCCAATGGTCTTTGCAAACCAAATGTGTTTCAAAAAATCAAATAGTATTATTGGAACTTTTTACTCTTTTAAAAAGGTGAGAGTCCCTGTAAGAAGACCTATATACAATAAAAAAAACTATTTAACTTGGGTCTTTGATTATAGTTTTTTATTTTAATTAAATAAATGACCTGATGGCAATGGTTTTTGTCAATTTATTCTTCACTGGCCAACTGCTGGTATCTTTGCACCACTCTCCATTTCTACAGTGTTGACAATTTATACCAATATCTGTTGTACCTGGTAATTGACCAGTTTCGAAACATGAAATAGTGTTGCCTGATCTTGCTGTAACACATGCTCCCTGTAATAAAACTGTTGATTAGTAAAAAAAATAACACAAGTCCTTAATTATAGTTTTTGTTCCAATTAACTTAATGATCCAAATTGTATAGTATTGTATAGTATTTCCTTAATGATACTTGTTTAGATTTTCCAAAAAATGTTTTTTCCCCTATTACTAATGATAAGCAGGTCTGATTATGACTGTCTGTTTTCTCAAGGTACGTTCCTATCGGTAGCAAAGGTGTAGAAAACGCTGCACCTGTGAACGGTGGCGGCGCGCGGGCGAAGCCATCAGCGGGGTTTGCGCGACACAGCACGTCCCCCGCACGCAGCAAGCAGGGTTCACCGCAAGGTTCACCACAGGCCTCCAAGTCGACCAGCGTCGTGCCGGACCCCGCTCCGTTCCTCGCGCACCCTGACCCTGCGAAGCCTGCGCACCAGAAGTCCGTGCTCCCGCCCATCAACGTGACGAACGCGCTCGTTAACAAAGCGGTGGGAGGAGGCCGGAGTCTCATCGTGAAGAAGTGTCCGTTGCGGCCCGGCAGTAGGGAACGCAAGGTGGAGACCATAGCCGTCGACGTGACGGCGGCGAATATTCAACCCAGTCAGAACTCGCCTCCGACCGACGCGAGCTAGTTTCACCGCCGACCACTGCGCCGCGTCCATGCTCGATGATTCAGATGAGTGATTGCTACATCAATGTGTGAATTTTTTTTAAAAAAACGGTTCAATTTTGCTCGTCCAACTAGGGCCTTCGTCCGGCTGAAACCTTCTTCGGCAAGTGGGAATTAGTTGACACGTTGTTTTTGTGAATGGTAAGTGTGGCGAGCGAACTGTTGTGCACTGAACAGTTTGTTTGTTTTCATTCTTCAGGCATATTAGGCTAATTACGAATTTATGACTGAGCGTTAGTTAATTTCATGCCGATACAGTATTTTAATGGAATGTATAACCTACAGTCAGGAGCAGTTTCATGTTAAAGAAACGACTGGTGGCAAATGCTGATTCACTCTTACACAGCTTCTGCTTATCTTAGATGCGAATTATTCTCAGCTTTATGAAGTGTCAGTACCAATGCTTAACCTATTAGTACGTTTTCTCTGCTGTATATTAAGTCAAATCAATGACCGCAAGCATGGCAAAGGGGATGTATGCGTTCCCTATCGAGATAACAGGAGTTAGGGTAAACTTCTCTTGCTAGGTTGAAATGTGAGCTATAAGTTTTCAGGTCAGACATCAGTAACAACACAATAATACAAAATAATTTAATAATACAAGTAATAACTGGGGAATAACATATCGCCATGTTGATGTATCAATGTTCATTGTATGAAGTGCATTGTGTAAGTGTGTCAGTCCTGTGTATCCACTTACTGATCCTGCGACCCTTCTTATTTCAACATTGCTTTTCGATTTTCTTCTCCTTTCTCTGTCTCAGTTTTCCCATTTGCTTTTTTATCGCACTCGTATTTTTAGCCTGCTTGCTTGCTTCCGTGGCAGTTTCTCTCTCTCTCTCTCTCTCTCTCTCGCTGTCTCTCTGTTTCTGGGCAGGTTCCACGTTTGGTTACCTACTGCCAGGAATGCAGCAACCCCATACATGCTTCTCATGGTATGAATCTCAGATAGCCTTCTACAACTGTACTCTTTAAACTTATATAACCTTTTACTGTGCGGCATTGTCGATGGTTTTATATTTGGCACTAATATAAACCAGTCATGTTCTAGGTGGGAGTAGTCTTGTGTGAGCCATGTATGTGATAACAATGGTGGCTGAATGAATAATGAGGACCAGACTGTGAGGGGAACTTAATGTGAGGCAAAATATAATAATTAATCCAGCAATTGAAGGCAAATCACAAGAGCATCGTAGCGAGTTTACTAGTAGAACATAGAGTAATCAAAAGAAAGATGGCATTTTTCCATTAGTAATGAGTAGCTCATTACACATTACATAATGAAGGAGGTTTCAGTTGGTGTTTTAAAACACTAATTACTTACTTCTCTGTTAGTATCCAGACATCTAGTCATTTGTGAAACACACAGTCTGCTCTGGCGTGAAGCTTTTTTCTGTCAGCTTGTATGCTATTGTTGTTTCATGGCAGCTACGATGACAAGAACATAACTTGTACATTGAAAACGGTTTTTGTGTTGTCAAATGCGAATGTTTTAATAAAATGCAGACTTGCATTACACAATGGCACATGCAATAGTTAAATGAGGTAAATTTTTGTGTTACTGGGTGATAGTGTAATGTACGATCAGCAATACGATCGTACAAATTAGCACACTTTATTCACCAGCCCAGTGCTGGGAGTGGCAAGACCAACTATGAATGCCAATGTACCACAATCAGAAAATATATTTATTATCAATTTTTAGCTCATCTGACATAATCAGATGCAGCTTGTAGAATCGCATGAGTGTGCATCCGGCCGTCCGTCAACAGTTGGGCACAAATCTTAACCGCTCGACGTACGGTCACGATATTCGGGACGTGGAAGGGGGGATCGTGAAAAGGACTCGGGATAACCAATTTGGGGGTCAAGGGTCAAAGGTCAAGATGTGTCAACGGAGGGGGAATATTTCTCCCTTATATATACGGGTATCCGGTATAGGAGGAAATACGGAATTGCGGCACAAATCTGAACGGCTCGACCTTTAATACTTTAATACTTTAATGCTGGGTCAGATGAGTAAGCTTATACTTATAGCTTTTTTGGACCCCTCTATATGATATAAAGCATAGCAGTGTCTCAGGTGGTCTTTTGACCCCTCAAGATGTATAAGAAATGCTGTTACTTGTACATATGTTTTTTGTGGTGCGCACACAACAAGAAAAATAGGACTACACTAACAGGAGGTGTTGAACTTATACTAATGCCACTGGTTGCTGTTGAGCCGAGATTTGAAGATTAGACTCTCTGATATGACCACTTCACTTGGAAGATTGTTCCACTAGCTGGTCTATGACCCTAAATGAAAAACTGTTTTGTCTGATTGTTGAATTACATCTTTTCTTAAACAGTTTTAGTTCATGACCACGTGTGTTATTCCCACTTCTAACAAAGAATACCCTCTCATCCATGTCTTCTAGGCCACTTAAAATTTTAAAGACCTGTATCATGTCGTACCGATCTCTTCGGTACTCTAGTGATGGTAAACCGAGCTTTATAAGCCTCCCCTTGTATGACAAGTGTTTTATGTCACATACTAATTTTTTTGCCCTTCTCTGTACCTTCTCCAACAGACGAATGTCCTTCTTCAGGTACGGTGACCAAACTGGCGTTGCATATTCCATTAACGGACGGACTAGGGATTTGTACAGGGAAAGAAACATATCCTTGTCAGTTGTCCATATGGTCAAATGAGTGCTTTATCAAGCCTACCATTCTGTTTGCCTTTGCCTCACATTTCCTCACTTGTTTCTCAAATTTCAAGCTGCTATCAAACGTTACCCCCAGATCACATTCTTCAATATCCTGTTTCACAATGGTGTTTCCCATATTCTTCTTGTAGCAATACATTGGATTGTTCTTGCCAATTTGCATAACTTTGCACTTTCCCATGTTAAAACGCAGCGGGGGGGGGGGTGTAATCCGAAAACGAGTTGGGATGTCGAAGCTGGGGGTCAAAGGTCAAGAGGTGTAAAAGAAGGGGGAACATTCCCTCCTTAACTTAAGGTATAGGGAGGAAATGCAGAATTGCAACAAAAATCTAAACGGCTCGACCTAGGCTCGTGATAGTCGGTGTATAGCATCATGGTAGGAAAAGCCATCACTGTCCCGAAATTGGAGGTCAAAGGTCAATGGGGCACAGGGCAGATTTTCGACATTTTCTGAGGACATGGTCTGACGGAGCGATTGAAAAACTTTTTTGTTTCAGCAGTAACCTACCATTTTTATGGCTTTATTGAAAGGACCATGAAATGTACTTTCCGCTGACATGCGAAGAGTAAGAGTCGGATAACCTTTTGACCCTCAAGAGGAGGGTTAAACATTGATTTGTTGACTGTTAACAAAGGAGTGAACTGCTTTTGCTATTATTAGAGCCCATACCTGTGTGAATGTGAGGCTACAGTTGCACAGTTTAATTGCAAAGGCAAATGTTTGTTGAACAAGGTTTACACTCCTTAAATCATATTATTTTCTAAAGCAGTCTGTCTATAGCACCCTGAAGGCTGAATCTGTGAAGGCTCGTTATCGGAGGCAAAAACACGGGGCAGCCAATGGCTGGCACGCTTTTAATCATAATTGTTGCCTGCCAACCTGCAATGCACGTGTCTGCAATGCATAGAGATTACGTGGGTGCGAAAGTGTAGCTGATATATTTGTTCCAATTGGCTACGAAAGTCAAACAAGAATAAAGAAGACTTATGTATAAGACGTCTTGCTATGCACAAATGAATTTATCAGCAGAACACCAGACACCAGATGAGCCCTGTCGCACTGCGGCACTTGTTGTTGTACCCTATTACACTGACGGTTGTTAAAAACTAACCAGAGAAGTAAGAAAGTGTACAGAAGTATATCATATTGTACTATAATACTGTATAATTCATAGTTCCATTCAAAGACTAATTAAGAAAATACATAATACACACCTTTCAAACAATGCGCTGTTCACTGATACAGCTATGGAAACTTCTGTATACAACTAGGTATAACTAGATCGAGAAGACTGGCACGTTTTATATATTTTTATATCCCAAGCATTTTGTTAATATACGGAGGATTGATCAGCATTATAATTGATCTTCCGAATAATCAAGATAAATTCATAATACCATGATAACCTGAGGTATATCGGCAACTGGAACGATTGAGTTTATGCAAGAATCCAATGAATCATAACTGAACATCCCTAACTTGATTTTAGCAGGATGAACTGCATCTAGTATGATCAAAATTGATACGTCCTGACATTTCCTCAGCATAGAAACATCTGATTCTACCGAGTACAGACTGGAGTGGCCAGTCTGTACCCCACATGTGCTAAAGAATATATGCAGCGCCCGAATCAGAAAACGCGATTCTGCGACGTGCGCAGAAGAATAAACATGGCCGCTCGACCTTCAACAGGTCGTCACTTCCATCGTCATCAGGCTTCCGATCTTCTGCAGCGGCGGCATGAGAATCTCCTTCGTGAACATGCGCTTTAGCGAGTACGCTGAGGTCAACCCAAGGTCGCTGACGATCTGCATCATGCCGTCGTTCGTCGTCGGCACGTTCATGAACACATGATCGTCCTCCTCCGTGTGCTTCGCGGTGATCGCATGGAACAGTGCAGCGATCGCGTCGGGCGTGTCGCCGTACAGCGGTGCGATGCGGTATCCGCGGTCCGCTGGCCGCAGCGTCGCGTAACCCACGATGGTGTTACCGTCGAGCGCGACTAGAGAGCGAGACTGAAGCCCTGCAGCCCAGCGGTTGAGGAAGCGGCTGCGCTCCATGCCATGACAGATCTGCAAACACACGACGCGTCACATGTTAGCGATGGCAATCTGTTGGTCAATGATCGCTAAACAATCTGCTGGTTAACGATTGATGACAATCTGTTGTTCAATGATCGATAACAACCAGTTGGTCAATGATCGATGACAATTAACTATGCTAAGCATGAGTGCTGGCTAGTAAGAAGATGTATATGTCACTTTATATTAGAATACAAGTAACACCAATACAGCTGATGCATTCATACATGGTATATGTACCGCTTAACTTCTCAAAGATATAAAGCAACAAAATAACAACACATACATTAGCTTAATTAGCACCCCTACTAGTTATTATAAAATTTTATTAATATTTATGGAGACAAGTGTATTAATTCGGTTTTTAAGTGGCAGCCAAACTGACCTTGGTATCATATCTTGCAAGCTCTCCAAAGTCAACCCTGGAAATTGGAACAATCTTGTACTTCTCAGGAGCTTTAATCAGAGGCCCACGCTTACCACCATAGCCAATAATCTCGAAAGCATAGTGTCGTGCCGTGTATAGTTCCTTGTGTTTCACAAGACGTGTTGATCCAATACTGATGCCAAAGTTGGCATCGCCGACATACTTTGATCGTTCTTCGAACAGAGCCTTTCCTATTCCCTTTCCACGCATATCCTCGCGTACGATGAATAATCCACCCATTACAAGGTCCGGTTTGACATGAGCACCAATAAGGTGACCTGTAGTAGAAGGCATTCACATGTTTAACCAGCAGCAACCAGCATCAGAGATACCAGGGGTTAATAATGACAAATTATGTCATTATTAACCCCTGGAGATATGTATAAAAGTACAGCTAAGTGTAATATTATAATCACGGGATTCACACAGAAACTAGTAATAAAAAAAACCATTTTTGCCTGCTGGCATTGAGCCGACTTATGCCAGACCCCCTTATTTTTTGCCAATGTTGTTGGTATCGAACCCTGAGTGCACAGCTGTGGGGAAAAAATTAAGTAGGTTAATGAGCCAGCTCACGAGTAAGATCTGCCGGGCCTTCCCAATAAAAACGCAGTTCATCTGTTAGCATTGACAAACACCTGCATTCTGTAAAGGACTCATATTTTCTCACCTGCAGAGTCAATCTCAACATTTATGATGCCATGGACATGTACTATAATATCAACATACCATGTAAAAATGAAAGTGTCAATGACACTGTAGCTCAACAAAACAAGTGCCGCAGAGCGACAGCGCTCATCTAACGTCTACTGCGGTGACTGCTGTGGTGGAGTGGGTGGATTACTAGTAAACCAGTGTTAGTCCAAATGTGTTGTCACATACAAGCCGAAACATGGAATGCACGGGATGGTATCCAGGAGCCTTCTCAAAGATGTTCGTTGGGATCGTTATGAAAGTTGCCACGAGATGGCGCGTACGCGTGTTAGTGTCTTCAGATTAAAGAATGGAAGCTCCATCATACGTAGTAGGCAACAACTATCTGCAAGACAGAATAGGTAAGCACTCGATCGCATTTACCTACGCAAGCCTACAGGCTGGCAATAGAGAGCTGCCACTGTAAATCCAATTAACGCAGGCAAAACTCCACAGTACCACAACACATGCACTGGCAGTAGCCACTGGCAGTGCATACTTACATGTAACATACTGACAGTACAGAATGCCATAGAAATTATACGATTTAAGGAGCATAAACCTTCTTTAACAAATTTAGCTTTTGAAATTTCACTGTGACATTGTCGCCTCATACATCCCCAGGCATGTATAGATTTCTACTAGCAAACCCGGCAGTGAATATATTTCTAACAGACAGTCAAACAATCCATGTTTAACCCTCTCTTGAGGGTCAAGGTTATCTGACACTTACTCTTCGCATGTCAGCAGAAGTAGATTTCATGGTCCTTTCAATAAAGCCATAAAAATGCTAGGTCACGTGCTGAAACAAAAAATTTTTCAATCGGCTCCGTCAGACCATGTCCTCATAAAATGTCTAAAATCTGCCTGTGCCCATTGACCTTTGACCTGTGACCTTCAATTTTCGGCACAGTGATGGCTTTTCCTACCATGATGCTATACACGACTATCACATCCTAGGTCGAGCCGTTTAGATTTGTGCCGCAATTCTGCATTTCCTCCCTATACCTTAAGTTAAGGAGTGAATGTTCCCCTTCTTTTACACCTCTTGACCTTTGACTTTGACCCCAGCTTCGACATCCAACTCGTTTTCGGATTACCCCCCCGCGTCCGCGAATATCGTGACCGTACGTCGAGCGGTTAAGATTTGTGCCAACTGTTGACGGACGCACGGACGATCATGCGATTCTACAAGCTGCATCTGACTATGTCAGATGAGCTAAAAAAGGACACAAGTGAGTGAGTAAGAAGAAGTCAGTTTTAATTGAGCAACCATCGACGTACATTATAGAAACGATTGCCATCTGTATATCGCAATAATAATTTATAAACAAAATGAATCACAATTTGTGACCGTAGATGGCGCTATACCGCTTTGTAGCGATGGCGTTTGAAATAAATAGGTTATGCGCGTTCGCAGCTGTTGTTATTAAAACTTTACTCTAATATAGACGTTTTATCGGCAGGGTGGAGAGGAAATACCAATTTTGCATTGAAGATATTGTCAATGAAATCTTGTAAAACGAACCAGACGAGTGTGACGCCACAGACTGGTTGTGTCTATATAATATGCTATATAATTGCCAAACCCTACCTAATTTGTATAATTTTTTAAATATCAAAACCCCTAGCCCTTATTCATTCACATACCAAAAATGAGCAAAATCCGTTGAACCTGAACGGACTAATGACAATTCCCATTTTTTGCCAAAAAATTACCGTGGCTCGAAAGTACGTCGACTGGCGTGCTTCAAAATAGGACGTTTAATATGGGAGCATGGCAGTAACAACTATACCCAATTTCAAACATGTGGGCCAAACGGTTCCTGAGTTATCGTTGACCGTAGCAAAATGTTGACGGACGGACGGACAGGCAATCGTTTCTATAATGTACGTCGATGGTTGCTCAATTAAAACTGACTTCTTCTTACTCACTCATTTGTGTCCTTTTTTTGTGGTGAGCTACAGTGTCATTGACACTTTCATTTTATAAGCATTTCTCTTTCCTCAAGATCATCACCACGTCATAATAACATTTTCCCTTACCAACCATATCACTGTTATCATCGATTGCACAAAAAGAGCCGAGTGGGTCGAAATCGTAGATTGCTCGCAAGTTGTCAAGGCCATAGTTCCATCCTTCAGCAGCTGTGAGCCTGTGGAGGCTCTTTAGCATCTCCCTTGCTGTGCGTGTGATAGTAATATTCTGCATGACTCCTGTACGACTCGTTTCCTTGAGCAAGAGGAAAATACTGTCGATTATTATTAGCATTTTAACTAATGATCGAAGTCTGTGGCTATATTTATTCATGCAGTTATTGTCTCACCACGTGGATCCTAGGATTGAACCAGCTGTAGTGCACAAACAATTTGTTAAGCCCCGGGCACAAAGGATCGTACGAAATTTTGGTCGTGGTAGACCCATAAAATATTTGTCGTGGCCAGATGTTGCAACATGCCCAAAATGTATTTCGAGTGATCACAAGAGCTACGACACATTAAAGATGATTTGGCAATGGGGACGAGACAGAAAAAAAATATATGTCGTGGTTATGTCGTGGGTGTGTCACAAGTCAGTACGTAAGTCAGTAGTAGGACAGACTCACGACAACCAGAAGACAGATACCACAAAAAATCGTGGAACAAAAAAAGTGCAGGTTCAATTTTGCCTCACGACGGCAAGTCGATGCCACGATGCTCAAAATTTCGTAGGACTGTCTTGCGACGACCCCCGATGACCCACGATTTGCCCAAATTTTCTGTCGTGTCTGTTATGATAGTGGAACTACTTTATGTAACGTCACTGCGTATGAATATGTAGTACTTGTATAGACTGAGTAAAGCAGTCTCGAGCACGCCATGCCTGAATAAAGACTTGTTATGCAGACCTCTCCGAGTTGAATCATTTCATGGCTATTATACCGATCTACCAAACCACAACATGGTGGCAGCTGAAGGAAAAGGACAACGCCATATCCAAGGACTGTCGTAACAGAAATACCAGCTAAGGCAATCTACATATAGTCTAGAAAGCTTCAACGAAATTTCTCTGCATGCTGAATCGCTCAGAACAGAGACTCCCGCCATCGCTACTGTACAGGCGGTTATCACATGATATAACCATGATCATGTCGTGCCTACGCTATATCATATAGTGATCGAGCTGCAGTGCACGGAGCTAGCACAGCACGCATTTCTACGACGACGTCAGTGTAAACTTTAGCACGCACTATATATCACCAGCCGTACACACGATACGACGCAAGATACAAGATACAAGACTGCTTACCTGATCATCAGTTGTGTGTTACCAGCCAAGATTGTTGACTTCAGTCGAGGTTAGTCATACACCACCTGACCCCAGCAGACCGTCAGTGACCCCAGCAGACCGTCAGTGACCCCACGACGAGAGACTCCAGCTATTTGTGACCAATAGACGCCGCCGAGACGAGATGTCGAGACGAATAAATATCAACCCAACGCACGTTCCGCGAAAGATTGCCGAACTCAGAAACTGTGCGAGAGATCCCGCTACACATTTAGTGTGAACTGACTAGTTTGAGTTATTCTCAAACCGTTAGTTACTGCCGAAATTGCCGTAATTGCCGTAATTGACTTAACCGTCAATTACTGCCGAAGTGTTAGTTACACGTTAGCATAGTAATTAGTTGATTGATACAGTACTTCATCACGAAGGGGTTAATTATTATTGTGTATTTTTTTGACTACCGCTGATTTTGAACTCTATATCCCACAGTATTGCTGTCTCATTGCAGTTTTTGTGTGTATATGTTCTGTGCCGCCAAATATTTCTGTGCGCACCAAATATTTTTTATGTGTCCACCAACGTGTTTCTGTGCCCTGACACCAGACATTCATACTGTTACCCCCCCCCACACACACACGTGCATAAATTAGGCCCAAAACAAATTCTCAATTGATCACCCCCAACCTATAGCCGCCAACATGGCAAAATTCATAGAATTTAAATGGGATGTGCCTGATTTAGCGGACGAATTCAAAATTTTCAAACAGAGGATGGGTCTGTGTTTTGAGGACCATGGCATCACCGATAAAGCAAAACAAGCAGTAAAAGTGAAAATCGCAGTAGGCAACGAAGGTTTGCGACGAATTAACGCTTCAGGTCTATCAGAAGAAGACCAAAAAGATCCTGCCTTATTGTTTGAACTATTCGAGGAACAACTAAATGTGAAGGTAAACTTCAGAATTCACAGACTAGAGTTTTTGAGATTCAGACAACGTAAAGACGAGTCTTTGGACGAATTCGTTACAAGATGTCGTGCGAAAGCCAACGAGTGTGACTTTTCAAACGAAGAACTGCAGGAACGAATTGTGGAACTTGTAATTGCATCAACAGACATTGAACCTTTTCAGAGAGAACTGTTAGAACAACTAAAAGGGTACAAACTCACGCAACTTTTGGAATGTGGCCGGAAATACGAAGCCATCGCTGCTGGTAAGAAAAGTTTAGAAACACTCGACACAAAAGACGCCGCTGCATCTGTCAGTGCAATAAAACACCAACATCCGAACTGCAAATGCAGAAACTGTGGACTGAATCACCCACCCAGGCAGTGTCCTGCATATACAGACATTTGCGAATATTGTGGTTCAAAAGGACATAGGCCGAAACTTTGCAGAAAGAAAAGAGACGACACTTCCAGGGGAAGAGGCTAATCAAGGAATAGAACACCTCGAAGGAGATCACCGTCACAATTTCGACGAGACAGACAATCACCGAGTGATAAACAACATTATAGTCATGCACAGCACGATAACAGTGGCCGAAAGAATATTGGCACCATTGACCAAGAGGACAAATATACTTTTTCACCCATAACATCTACGCAGGGTCGAGACGAAGCGTATGCCTGTATAGACATCAAACTACCAAGAAGTACCGAAACCAAAACAAAACTCAAAGTCAAGATTGACACTGGAGCTCAAAGAAATACACTACCTGTCAGATTATTCAAGCAAATGTTTCCAGATAAGTTGGACGCTGAGGGAAATCCAGTACTTGGCAAGACTGGTATCAAACTGTTAGCTTACAACAACACAGAAATCAAACATTATGGAACTGTATCGATCCTATGCAAGTTTCAGAAATCTGACTGGACAGATACTACTTTCTATGTAGTGGACGTTTCTGGATCAGCCATTGTAGGGCTACCTATCTGCGAGAAACTACAGATGGTAACTATGCATTGTGCTATACAGCACATAACAGTACCAGAATCACCTGACCTCGCAAATGCCGAGGAACTGAAAAAGCAGTACCAAGATCGATTTGAGGGTATTGGATGTTCCCCAGGAGAAGTGAAGCTGTATGTTGACCCGGATGCACAGCCCCATATTGACCCCCCAAGGAAGACACCAATAGCACTCCAAGATCAAATCAAGACTGAGCTTGATAAGATGGAAACAATCGGAGTAATCAGAAAGGTCGAAGAACCTACAGAATGGGTATCCAGCCTTGCATACTCAACAAGGATGGGAGCCTAAGGATCTGTCTGGATCCAAAGCACATGAACAGAGCTCTCAAGAGACCACACAAAATTCCAACACTGGAAGAGATAAACCATAAATTCAACGGCGCCAAATACTTCAGTAAACTAGACACCAAATCGGGATATTGGAGCGTGAAGCTACATCCTGACTCACAGCTACTGACAACATTCCAGACACCGTTTGGAAGATTCTGCTTTACCAGGCTTCCGTTTGGCTTATCCGTAAGCCAAGATATATTCCAAGCCAAAATGGACGAGATCCTTGACGAACTCGAAGGAGTTGCCGGTATTGCAGACAATATTGAAGTCGCAGGTGACACTGAGGAGAAACACGACCAGAATCTCAGAGCCCTGATGGAGCGTGCTGAGAAATACAAACTGGTTCTCAACTATGGGAAGTGCACTATCAAGGCAACATCTATTGAATTCTTTGGCCAGATCTACAGCAACCAAGGCATCAAACCGGATCCTGTAAAGATAGCAGATCTTGCAGACATGAAGATGCCAGAAAACAAGCAGGAACTTCAAGAGTTTCTAGGCCTACTAACGTACCTAGAGCCATTCATCCCAAACTTAGCAGAGAAAGCAAATGTTTTCCGAGATCTTCTCAAGAAGGACGTTCCATATATCTGGGAAGCACATCATACTACCGCATTTGAAAACCTGAAGAAGATCATCAGTGATCAGTCGAACCTTCAGTACTTTGACGTGAACAAGATTCCTGTCTTGATGACCGACGCAAGCCTCAAAGGTGTCGGAGCAGCACTTCTGCAAGACCACAACGGAACTCTCAAGCCGGTAGCTTATGCTTCCAAAACTTTATCACAGACTGAGAAGAACTACGCTTGTATCGAGAGAGAAATTTTAGCGATTCTGTTCGCTGTACAGAGGTTCCACACCTACCTCTATGGGAGACCATTCAGATGTTTCACAGATCACAAACCGTTAGTAATGATCATGCAGAAAGGGCTAACCAACGCCCCACCACGATTACAACGAATGCTGTTGAAACTTCAAGGATACTCGATACAGCTAGAGTATAAACCTGGGAAGGAAATGACTCTACCCGACACACTTTCAAGACTAACAAGCACGAAATGCTCAGAGACTATTGAATTAGACGTCAGAGTTGACTTCGTCCGATTTACCCCCAAAAGAAAGTCTCACAGCTGAAGATGGAATCGAGCAAAGACCCCGTGCTGAGTGAACTAGCTGAGGTCATTACAGCAGGGTGGCCAGGCACTATCAGCAACCTATCCAGCAGTATTCGTCTATACTGGAGCATGAGGGACGAGCTGTCTGTCGAGGACGGAATCATCCTGAAAGGACATCGAGTTGTCATACCTACCTCCATGAAGGAAGACATACTAAATCAACTTCACTATGGACACTTGGGTGTAGAGAAAACTTGTTTACGTGCCAGAGACACGGTATGCTGGCACAACATCCGCAAGAACATTGAGAAATTTGTCAAGACATGTCAAGCTTGCCAGGAGGAACTACCGTCCCAACAACCTGAACCACTCATGCCACACGAAATTCCCAATCGACCATGGGAGGACATCGGTACTGACCTCTTCGAGTTTGATGGGTCAAAGTGGCTCATCATAGCAGACTACTATAGTGAATTCCAAGTAATTGGAAAATTGCCAAAATGAAGCCCAAGCTCAGTTGTTGTTGCGCATACTAAGTCGGTCTTTGCAGAGTATGGGATTCCACGTCATGTCAGGTCAGACAACGTCCACACTTTGACAGCAGAGAATACAGACAATTCTCACAGGAGTGGAACTTCCAACACACGGCCAGTTCTCCAAGATACCCCAAAGCAAACGGTTTCATCGAGAGTATGGTTAAGACTGTGAAAAAGACGCTTATCAAAGCAAAGAAAACCGGTCAAGATCAAGATCTTGCTTTGCTGTACCTAAGAGCTACACCTGTCAACAACAAACTGCCAAGTCCAGGAGAACTTCTGAGAGGACAGAAAATGTCTACCCCAATACTTACCAAGATACCAAATAACCAGCCAAACAAAGAAGAGATTCGAGAGCACCTTGAGCAAAGACAGACAGACATGAAACAAAACTATGACAAGAAAAGTCAGCCTCTGGATCTATTATCCAGTGGAAAACGTGTGCGCTTCCAACTTCAAGAACATGGACCATGGATACCTGGGCGAGTGATTGACAAGAGAGATGAGCCTAGGTCATATGTATTGGAGACTCCAAATGGCGGACAGATTCGCAGAAATCGTAGCCATATTCGAGACGCACCACCGCCGAAAGTCAGATTTACAGACAACGCCGCGTCGATTGTTATCACAGTATATGGGTGCATTTCGATTTAATCACATATCAACATTCCGATTTATCGGGCATAATATTTGATTCGACTCCGATCGAAGTCATTCGATTCCGCATCGATTATCATTCGTAATGCATCATTACGATGCGTGAATCGAATGATTCGTGCGGCGAACGAATGATCGAGTGTCATCATTCATTCACGCATCGAATGATCTGATTACGCATCGAGATCATTCGAAGTTCACAGCTACGAATGATGCATCGAATCATTCGAAGTGCGTGAAGTGCGAATGATTCGAGTGCGTGAATCGAATGATTCGATGCCGTGAATTCGAATCATTCGATGCGTGAATGCGAATGATGCATCGAATGATGCATTCGAAGATCATTCGGATCGCACATCCGAATCTATTCGATTCACAGCTCGAATGGATTGCATTCGAATTGATTCGATGGCGTGAATCGAATGATTCGACTGCGTGAATCCGAATGATTCGATTGCGTGAATCGAATTTGATTTCGACTGCGCGGAAATGCTGAAGTGAATTTCGATGCATGCACTTCGATTCACAGCATCGCGGAAATCATTCGATTCACGCACTCTGAATCATTCGATTCAGCGGCATCGAATCATCGATTCACTAGCTCGAATTCAATTCGATGCATCATTCGATAAATGCGGTGATATCGAATGATTCGATGCGTTGACATCGAAATGATTCTGATGCGGAATCGCAAATGATGCGAGTCGAAAATCATTCGATTCGCTGGCATTCGAATCATCTCGATCATCGCATGCGAATGATGGCATTCGAATTGATTCGAGTCGTTGAATCGATATGATTTCGATGGCGTGAATCGAGATGATTCGAGGCGTGAATGCGAATGATTTCGATGCGCGAATCGAAATGATGTCGATGCATTCATTGCGATTCACCGGCAATCGGAATCATTCGGATTCATACTGCATCGAATCATTCGATTCACGCATCGAATCAATTCGGAGTTCAGCGGCATCGAATTGATGCATCGAATGATTCGAGTGCGTGAATGCGGAAATGATTTCGATGGCGTGAATCGAATGATTCGATGCGTGAAATCGAATGCATTCGATCCGGTGAATCGGAATGAACTGTCATCGAATCATAGTCGATCAAACGCATCCGATGATTCGATTCACGCTCGAACTGAATGCATCGATCAATTCGATTCAGCTGCATCGAATGAATTTGAATGCTGAATTATGACACAGAATACACATCCATAAAACACAGACGGGCAACCAAGCAATGGACCCTGGGAAAGCGCCAAACAAGCCATATGTTACGAGATTTTGGTAGAGGTGCGTCAAAGGCGAATACGCACAGATAAGTCAGATACACATGTAAATCAAATCCCTAGAGTATAGTCACACGTACACCTACCACTAACCAACATATACCTCTAGTATTGTAATTGCTTTGAAGCCAGTAATAATGTCGATGTATTTCAAGGATAACAGGTCAGCATAACCTTGTACTCCCATTATGCATCATCACTTTGGATAATTTTAGTTTATTCTTAATGGTGTTTGTTCTTGTCTTGAAAAGGGCATGTTTATATAGTGGGAAGTTTTTCTAATACTTTATGTAGACGTCCACCTTTTGCGTATGAAGTGATGTAGTACTTGTATGGACTGGAGTAAAGCAAGTCTCGAGCCACGTCAGTGGTGCCTGAATAAAGACCTTGTTATGTCAGACGCATCTCCTGAGTTGAATCATTTCATGGCTATTAGTATTAGTATTATACCGATCTACCAAACCACAACAGTGTCGTGGCACAAATGCGTCGTGGGTTCGTTGTGACCGAGGCTTTAGCAACACAAGATTGTCTGTTGGGGCTTATTTAGGAATTATGGACATATTCTGAACTAAATTCTTAGTCATAATAAAAAGTACTTATTTATGGTATAACTATATGTAATTTGGCTATCTATATAATATGGCTTGTGTGCGACGACAATGTTTGTCGTTGGTGGTAGCATGGTAATGGTTACTGATGCACGTAACACAATCATGCAAGGCACCGCTTGAAGCTTTCAATACTATAATGCTAACTAAATATGCGAAATCTATTTAACTACAATTTTTAATTTTTCTATAGTATAACCACGCGTCGGCCCTAGGCTATACCTATAGAAACATTAAGAATTTCTTGGTTAGTAAATAGATTTTCGGTATGTTAGTTTAGGCATTCAATATTTTATTGAAACGACTTCAATGTGCATGTCCGCTGGAGTGTGTAACAAGTCACATGGCACTGGCTGGAAACGTCTCAATAAAAAAATAATGGTAAATAAACACGAAATGTACCAAGTCTTAATGTTTCTCTACTGTAGTTCGGCGCTATAGATCACGCTGTAAATGCCGGTCATTTATGCTCATCTGCAACACCCCAAGTACAGCCGAATCGCCCGCCGCGCTGTGGCTTGCGTGCACAAACAACATGAATAAGAAGCGAAGGTAGGAAAGCAGGATGAAAGAATCCCTCGCATCGACGCTCGCGGTTCATTCCAACCGAACACATCTCGAATACTAAACGCTCGCTACAGTCTTCCATCTTGGTATGCTATGTGTACATAATGTTTCACTTTGTTTGAATTAATACTCTGGCCTTTGTTCTTGACTACTCCCGCCAGAGATATCTCGGCGAAATCCTGCACGAAGCATGTGCTCTCCGTGAAAATGTATAGAGGACGAGATGTCTGTTATATCCACGAGTATATATTGGGGCGGCATTGGCATGCCGGGATGAGCTTGCTGCCGGCCTCCGAGCTATCCATTTCGAGGCAGCCAAGCCACAGACAATGCGCGCGTGGCACTGACGTCAGCACCACACGACCTACAGCGATCGATCGAATAGTAGTGCCCGTGTAGGATTTTCGGAGTAAACGTTCCTCTTACCATTTTCACGGAGAGCCAATTTTCGTGCCAGGATTTCGTGAGATATCTGCTGGCGGGAGTAGGTAAGAAACAAAGGCCCAGAGGTATATATTCCAGAAACAAGTGCCACAATTATGTACACATAATACCAAAGAATGGAAGCTGCTAGGAGGTGTAGTTCGAGATGTGATGGTTTGAAATGAAGCGAGCGTCGAGCGAATTTTCCAATCCCGCTTTCCCTACCTGCTCTCTTATTTCATCGTTGTTTTGTCCACGCAGCACAGCGCGGGCGGGCGTTCGTGTAGCTTGTGTGTTGCAGATAAGCATTTGACCGGCATTGGTG